CAAATTTACAATATTACAATTCATAATTTATATTTTAAATTATATCGTTTTAGTAGAAAGTTGAGTAAATCATATTTTATTCCGTACGTTTGTTGTGATGATAAAATTAGATTATATTTATAAATCGTAAATTCGTAAATAAGTCTCTATCGGCAGTATGACCACAGAATAGGTTAAATTTAATCAGTTCTGTGGTATGACTAAACATTATTGGGTATATTGTGTCTATTTATACTTAATAGTACCTATACAAATGTCTATCGTGTGTGCCGGTTGCGACGTGCATTCGCAGAACTAATAAAACTATATATWATATATAGTATATATTATATAATCTAATGTAAATCCGTAGTTGGATAATAACCAATAAGTCTATGTCTATCTCTATATCTCTCCCCGGATCACATTATCACAATCGCAGTAATCGCACCAAACTCAACTGTTCGACGTCCATMATTTATCTCGATTTTTGTTGACGGAAAAGTGTTCAGGCGTTCAGAATATGTTTATTTTTTATATGATCTTATTAATGTGTCTAGTAATTAGTGGTTTTAACTTTTAATAAATAATAAATCGATTACACCGTGAAAAAATAACTAACTACAAGTATGAAACCATTGGGACCATGTCAGCTTCCTCCAAAAAAAACTCGTCTTTCCGGTGGGGCCAGAAAACTTGTAAGAGCAAAAGTAAAAATATGATTTTTTTGATTTTTAAATAATTTATAGATTTGTAAAAAAGTTACAATAAGAAATATGTATTGTATATTTGTATGAGACTTCATTACATTTTACAATATTTCAACTGTCAAAGTTTYAGAAGCACAAGGTTTGCTGTTTCGTGTTATGAGACTGAAGAATAGTTTTATGTTGGTTGTGTGGAAAAATGTTTTAGCAAAAGCTTATATATTATCTAACTATTTACAAAATGCATAAATTGATTTAACAACTGCCTTCAATATGATTATAGCTTGTTCAGAAAATATTAAATCCACGAGAACTACTGAACAATTTATAGAAATTWAAAAAAATGTGATTGTGTTGTGTGAAAAATTTAATGGTATCACAAAGTTTGATGAACAAAGAAACAAAAAAGCAAAACAATTTTTTGACGAAATGGGTGTAGAATCTACACTGTAGATGATCATTTAAATAAATCAGCTGGCCAAAGTTTCAAAATTCAAACATATTTTGTAATTTTAGATTCATTCATTAATGTTTTAAATCACAGGTTTGAAGATTTTTCTAATATTGTAAGACAATTTGAATGCCTTGATCTAAAAAAATATTTTGTAGAAAAAAAAAACCAATGAAAAATCCATTGGTGAACATAGAAGCTTTCTGAAATTTACCAAACTGATATTGATCAAGATGATCTTATTTCAGAATATGAGTCATTTAGTTGTGTTTACTATCATTTAAATAAGGACTG